GAAACTAGACTCTAATGGCTCTCTAGAGTGATGTAAGGCTCGGTTAGTGGCCAAAGGATTTCATCAGACTCCTAGAATTGACTATTTTGAAACTTTCAGCCTAGTGGTGAAGCCTACAACCATAAGAATTATACTTTCCCTAGCTATTTCCTACAACTGGCCAGTCAGACAACTGGATGTCAACAATGCTTTTCTCAATGGGCATCTAACAGAAACTGTATATATGAACCAGCCACCAGGTTTTCAGGACAAGGAAAAACCAGATCATGTCTGCAAACTCAATCGAGCCCTCTATGGTCTCAAACAGAGCCCAAGAGCATGGTACAATGAGCTGAGTACCTACCTCTTGCATTGGGGCTTTCTTAACTCTAAGGCAGACTCTTCCATGTTCTTCAAGACCACCTCAGGGCAGTTGACAATCATTCTTGTGTATGTAGATGATATCCTAATCACTGGAACGAATGATCATGCCATCAGAACAGTAATGAACAACTTGCAGAGTCAATTCTCTTTGAAAAGACTTAGGTCACCTTGACTACTTCTTGGGATTACAGATTACCAGAAACAAAACAATGATGCACTGTAGCCAAGAAAAATATATCAAAGATATTCTCCATAAAGCTGGCCTTGCTGACTGTAAACCTGTATCTACTCCTCTAGCTCCCAACTCCCATTTGTCCCTCCATGAAGGTGAACCACTCCCAGATCCGACATACTATCGGAGCATTGTAGGTGCTATCCAGTATTGCACTCTTATAAGGCCCGATATCTCATTTGCTGTCAACAAAGTCTGCCAATTCCTACATGCTCCCACTACAACTCACTTTCAAGCTGTTAAACGAATTCTAAGGTGCCTCAAAGGGACTCAATCCTTGGGCATTACTTTTACAACAGATCACCCTCTTACAATCACAGCTTATGCTGATGCTGATTGGGCCAGCTGCCCTGATGATAGGAAAAGTACTGGGGGCTTTTGCATCTTTTTGGGAGGAAATCTGGTTTCTTGGTCTTCAAAAAAAACAGAAAGTAGTATCTCACTCTAGCACAGAAGCTGAATACCGCTCTGTTGTAGATACAACTGTTGAAATTATCTGGATTGAGTCACTCCTTCAAGAGTTGCAAATTAGTTACAGCAAACCTCCCTTAATTCTGTGTGATAACTTGAGCACTGTTTACCTCACGGCAAACCCTGTTCTACATGCCAAAGCCAAACACGTGGAAATTGATTATTATTTTATCCGTGATAGAGTAACTAAAGGCCTCATACAAGTTCAGCACATCCCTTTTTCAGATCAAGTCGCTGATCCCCTCACCAAGGCATGTTCAGCTCATACCTTTCTTACAGCAAGAAACAAGCTCACAGTCCTTCCCAGGCCAATGAGCTTGCGGGGGGATGTTAATCAAGGAGGTATGACAGGTGGCACTCTGCACAGCCACCTGTCCGCACAACCATCACAACCATCTATACAATCTGTCCTTCCCACTACCTGTGCATATTCTCCCGTATTGAAGCATTTGTAGTATAGGCAACGTCTGTAACAAATTTCAGTTTTTTGTATAATTTCTTGTTTTATCCATGTGTATATATATTCAGTACACGACCTTGTATAATGTAGACAGTGGAATTATTTTCTTCAATACAATCTGTTCTGATTTTCTCCCTCTGTTCTCTTCTTGTTCTCTCAATCCCATTTCTCACAGAGAATAATAAGAAACGACAGATAATCAAAAAATGCAAGCGCGCGCGCGCACACACACATATGTATAGAGAGAGAGAGAGAGAGAGGCAGAGAGAGATCTCATTACAGGTCTGGCGAGATCTCATCTATTGACTGAGATGGATGGAGGAAGCGGTGTCGGTAGGACGAGAGGGCAATAAAATGACCATGGCGGAGAATGGAGTGACAGTGGTGGCATATAGCGACCACGGTGGCTGTACATTCAAAAGAGGATGAACGGTAATGGAGGGTCGAAGAGTAGAAGATGACTTTGGGAAGAGGAGGCTAAACAGAAGGACGAAGAAGATGAGTGCAAAATGGCAAGGGCAGGGGTTGTCCTTGTGAAAAGTATGCAAGGGCATTTTTGTCTAATAAAAAATTGTGCCTTTTCCAATCATTTTTCTCTCATCAACGGCATGAGAATTTTGGGAGAAACTCCTCCAATATACTTCTCTCAAAATCCAAAAAACATTTTTTTTTTTTTTTATTTTGGTTATTGATTTTCTAAAAAATCTGACCTAAATAGGATGTTTTGGGTAGAAGTATTTTTTTCATTAAAAGGTTGATATGTTTTTGGTAAATAAATGTGAACCAAACGGGGTGTTAGCTAAAGGGAAGTAAACCTAAAATCATAAATTAGTCACTAGTGTTAAAATATTGCAATTAGTTTCAATTGAGGTAATTTTTATTCTATATTCTAGAGATCTTTACCACAAGTTTTACTTTAATGTAAGAGAACAAATGTAAAGATTATATGATATAATTCATCTACCTAATATACAATATTCCACTTATTGACATAATCTATTTATTTGGCATAACCAATTTATTTCATTCATTCACATTCAATTAATTATTATTTTATAACAATCGTGTTTAAAATTATAACTTTTTAAATATAATGAAATCCATAAAAAAATGTTTAACCAGTTAAAATACAACTTTTAATTAAAAGAATAATTTTTGAATTACATTTATAAGTTCAATATCTATGCAATTATATAAAATTGAAAGTCTCATATCTAACAAAATGTTATTTTATAACTGGAGTGTCATTACATTTCTAAACATCAACTTAGTTCATACTAACAGTAAATAATAAAAATGAAGAGGAAGAGTAAGAACTCATTATCATAAATGTTCCTATTTCAATTTCGATAAACTCCTGAAATTTGATAAATTCCAAGGTCTCTTTACAGTAGAGAGCTTGACTCTGATAATTGTCCCTTTTCCTTCGGTTACAGAGTGAAGAGGATGAAGAATGGTAACCGGAACTTTGCTATTTAATGGCTGAAATTAGCTATCTTAACTGTCCATGAAAAAATCTTTATATAGAGAAAATTCAAAAATTTTAAGAATTTCTTTTTCACTTTCAATCATTCTTCCACTAGAGTTCTTCGCATGATATATTTGGAAACTTCAAAAATACTTTGAGCTTCATGAATCCTGTCTTCCTACTTTCTTCTTGCTGAATTTCTTACTTGTTAGGTGAAGGCATGTCTGTCCAGGGGAGTACTAGAGTTTGAAAATACCTTCTTGTGAACTTTTTATTGCAAGTTAAACTTTTCTAAATTTTAAAAATAAGCCAGTCATGTAGAGTTCTTCTTTTCCTCGATTTCTTGATGAGATAAGTTCCACTCAAGATGATATGATTGGCCGGCCAATATATTGTTTTCAAGAAGATGACTTTGAGGAATACATGGATTTCTATTATAGATTGGAGGAATAGAATTGTCTTATCAATATATTATCTTCTTAAATTACTTAAATTGCACTGATTGTAATTAAGTTGGGCTCACTTAAGTTGACTTGGGTTTAATTTAATTAATTAATTATATTACCTTCTTGATGAATTTGGTCAAGTCCAATATTTAATGATCATTTAAGTCCAATGATACTCTAGAAGTTCAAATTTGAATTAAATACTTTCAACTTACAAAAGTAAAAAAAAAAAAAAAAGTATTTAAGAGTGATTAATTTTAATAAAAGTCTAATAGATATCTCGTTAAATTAATAAAAATAACCGCATTTGGATTTCATGGTACGTAAATTCTTGGTTTCACTTTCAATATTTCAGATGGGAGTAGACTGGTAAACGTGGAGCATGGTTTTAAAAATTGGACCGGACCAGCCGGTTAGACCGGTTGGACCGTCAATTAGTCCTCTTTACGGTTCGATTTCCATGAAAAATCAGAACATTGCAAAAAATCGTTTTAATTTTGCAGAACCGCTTAAACCACCGATCCCACCGCTTGAATTGATAAACCGGTTGCAATTTTCATGAACCGGATTCGTGTTTTCCTTTTTTTTTAAACAAATTTTGTCCTAAAATTTCCTTCCTCTCACTTTCTCGACAGACTTGATCTCGATCTCAAGAGGTAAAATCCCTAAACCTTACTTCCCCTGTTGTCGCCGTGGATGAAGCTCGTCGTTGTCTAGCTGCCGTCGCCATGCCCATGACACCTAACGACTAACGCCGACGAAGCAGAGCCAGGCCAGTGGTTTGAGCGGCCGTTCTCTTCTTCCGTAGAATTTAAGAAAGAAAGTCGCGACTACATACGAACGTATATAGAGAGAGGAAGGAGCGAGCTCGTTGGAGGTGAGAGGAACCTCCAGACGCCAAGCGCTTCTCTTTCAGGTGCACTGCAGGGTTCTTGGTACGGGCTAGATGGGGAGAGAGGATTGGAGGGTCGAAGGGATAGATAGAGTGAGGAGAGAGAGAGCGAGAGAGAGAATTAGGGAGGAGGCCATTCTGGCTTGGAAGACTGGTCTGATACGGAAGTCTGATGGCCTTAAATAGGGCATTTATATCTTGCTATGGTAGTCACGCCATCTCAAAAGAAATATTGACTCAGAGAAATGTGTTAGATATTTTAATTAAAAAAATTTTGGGTTATAAAATTTTTTTTTATATAGCTTAGCAAGTATATCACTCAGGGGAAGGATAACTATTCTGTGGCAAATGGCTTGGTGCTTTCGTGCAAATAAATTTGAGTTTAATGAAAATTGCAGCTGTACTTTATAGCTATAATATTATTTATTTATTTTTTTAATATATATTTATATAAATTATATAATTATGACATTATCGGTTCAATTGATAGTTGGACACTGTGAATCGGTAATTTTTCTGGTTCGATGAACGGTCCAATTTTTTGAATCACGCTGTGGAGCATTCCAGATTATTTATTAATTATAGAAAATGTTCTACATTAAGTTGTATCTATTTTTGTTGAAGCCATGGGATAGTTGGAACAAAGTAGTTTTTGGATCTTTGCACCTGGGGAACTTGAAGGCTGGGGGCTTCCTCATGCTGGTTTCAGGGGTGCCTCCATCCTTTACTATGAAGACTGTGTTCATTCCCCAAGAAAGATGTCTGTCAAAATGGCAATGCCAATACCATACACCTGATCCGAAAGACATAAATAAAATTACTTTATTTTTAAGATATATATATAGCCTATAAATTTTTAGAGTTTTTTTAAATTGCGAATTGTCTTACATTTTTTTAGATTTCTGAAAACATTCCCAAAAAAAAAAAATAAAAATTTGACTGTCAGGCCTAAGTTCAGAGACCCTCGTTTGCCCTTTCACGAATTTATTTTTAGAATAAAATTTAAAAGCAAAGCCCGTCTTAAAAAATTGTAATATTCAAAATTATTGGATATTATTTTGAAAAGAATCTAAAAAATAATACTATTTTTCCCAAAAAGTTTTCCTATTTTTAAAATTCGAACATAGGAATTATATTCAAACTCTAAGTAATTTTTAATTCATTTTAAATATATTACCTGGATTGTTGGCTGTGAATCTTATGGTAACCCATCCCTTCCTGGGAACAGCAAATGTGTTGAGTTGGGGAGGGTCAACCAAATTGTACCCCTTTGGATCAATATTCGGGTCAAAATTTCCATATCCAAATCCAACCACATAAAAACTATATCCATGCATATGCATAGGGTGAGTTTCAGGTGTGTCAAGGACATTAGTCCCTTGAAATATGATCTCCACACTCTCATTATATCTTAAAACTTTGATCTTCGTTCCTTGATCTGGTACTGTGGTATTTATGGACAAATCGTCACCGGTAAAGTTGAAATAAGTAGGTGGTTGATCAGGAAAATCATCCGTGTAAACACCACTCAAGTTCCTGCAAGATTTACCCATAATATAGAATTCATTAAAAGAAATTCACCATAAAGTCTCTTGCGTGTGCAAATGTCCTTGTTAGAAATGGCGATCATGATTATCGATGGACAAATATTTGAGAATAAATTGGTGTTCCCCTGCCCATTTAAAATAAGAATTTGGGGTCTTAAAAAAAAAAACACAAAGTTAAAATATATCACAATTAAAACTTTGAGAACAAAAACATAACCTAAATAAAATTACAGAATCAAGAGTGCAATTTTCAAAAAGTTAGATAACTAGCTTTTTTGGTGTGTATTTAATTCTCGTACCAATAGTAAGCGCTCAAAATGTCAGTGCTTGGATTCACGAAACTTATGTTACTCAAAGAAGATTTGAGTTTTTGATCTGAGTCTTCTAAAGAGACACCATTGCAAGAATCATTCCTACAATCAACACGGCCCATGGAAACTGTTATAAACATGCGGGTGGTGATCTCGTTTGGAACCTTGACTGGGTGGTCATGACTCGCTAGGCTTCTTAGTCGATGCCAAAACTCATCTGCCTTGTCCGCATCCTGAAAATAGTTTCATAAGATTTAAAATTGAACCTAACTTATATTCACAAGTCAAAAATTAAATTCGATGCAAATCAATTTTTCAAAAATAATTGAATGGAGCAATGGCTTTTCGATTTTTTTGAATTGCTTTCAACAACTAGGCGAAAGGCAAGGGGGTGGTCGTACAATGATTGCCAGACCTAATATGTTTCCATTAGTTTAAAAGAAAAATTAGTTGGTTCCCTTCCAAAATTGTAAAACCAAATAGTTAGCCCTTCAAGTTCTATTTTTCATTCTTTTAGGCCCTTTTACTAGACATTTGATGTTCTTCCCCATTTTTATGTCATACCTGAAATGAAGGAAGGGTAGAAGGGAAGACTGGGTGTGATGGACGGGTATAGTTGCCTCTGTACTCTAAAATTGCTGTAGCATTCGTGCTGTCATAGCCAGTGTAGTCTTGGTCTGTGGAATCATACTGCCTGGTGGCCATATAATAGAGGCCTAAAGGCTGCTTTGCAGTCAACAAAACGTCCATGGTTTGGCCAGGAGATATCACTATGTATGAAGTCACCATGGGCTTGAGGTAGTTCCCATCCATGCCCACGACGGTTAGATTGTGTTGGGCTATGGCAAAGAACATGCCCACATTCATTACTGCATTCACTATTCGAAGAAGATAGGTCTTGCCATAATCCACCTCCTTTCGATAAGTTCCCTCTGCCACACAAAGCTTGGTTACCGATGAGGAAAAAAAAATAGTTAAATGAAGCTTGGTTACCGATGAGAAAAAAAAAATAGTTAAATGAAGTCTATTAGTAGTGTTAATAAGTTAGCATGTCAATTTGAACAGCTAACAGCGTCTTTCCAAGCAATGTCCACAATCTAGGACCACAGAGGCATTAATAGTGCCTTTTGAGAACATGAAAGGTACTATATAAAGATGTATACCTGGGACTCAACGAGTTATGTGCAAGTGTTTTTCTGTTAAATATGGAAAATAATTTTTTTTGTTACGTGAATAGCAAATTCTTGTATATATAAGGAGAAAATCGCCCAATTAAATACTGTACAGACAATAATCTGGGTAACTATAATGATTTTATAATGTGTCTGTTAAACACAATATCAATGAAACTAGTTTTCAATTTTCCATGAACAATTAGAAAATCTAGTTCAAACAAATAAATATTCAGGAAAAATTGATATTAACTAATATAAGTAAGAAAATACTTCACCATTAACTTATAGAAAAACTCTCAATATAATCATAACAAGATTCCAAGAAAACAAACCTATCTCCCCTCACAACTTAATCCTAGACTATTAGAATCACCAACTCTTAACCCTCAGATGGCTAGAACGGATTAATCAATGCTTGAATATTGTCAGAAGTGGAGATCTCCTAATCAGATGGATGACTGTCAAGTGCTTTCACAAAATCTTTGATTGGATCTTTGATTATTAGGATGAATTTTGGATAAATTTTTGGATACTCTAAAATGTCACACAAGTCTTTTTTTTATAACTCTAAGAGTCCAAGAGGACTTAGGAGTTTTTGGAAGGGTTGGAAATCTTAAAATATCCCTGAAAAATGCAAGAAATCTTGCCATGGCGTGTTGTTGCGGGCTCTGGTGTGCTATAATATGCTAATTCTAGTGAGTAGTGCACTACAACTGGTTTTAGCATACTACAACGTGCTGCTATAATTTTGCTACAGTAACTTTTGCTTCTTCTTTTTTTTTTTTTTTTATAAAATCCATTTATTCTCAAACTCTCAAATGGGTACTTATCAATTTCAAACCCCTCAAAGATCCTCCGAGATCATACCTCATCCCAATGGTTCTTAACTACAATGGTGCGAGTAGTGGGTTGGTTCGAAGCTCGAGGTGAGTTATCTTACTTGGGCTTGGGCTTCCTTAGAGCTTAATGTTGGGTTTTGTGGGCCATTGGTTGTCGCTAGGCTTTAGACTTCTTTCTTTACCTGTTTTGACCCATGCGCCAATTTTGACCAATGTAGTGTGGATTTGGACTAGTGCCAAGCTCATCTTTGTCATGGATGGATTCTTGTGACTGCACTACTATTGTGAGGCATCGTCGTTTTGTGTTGGCTGTGACCATCTCCTCAACTTGTTTTGAAGCATTCCTAAGAATGATAAATGTTTTACCATTTTTCTTAAGATGATACTTCTATTCTTAGCAGTGGTAGATGGCATCTCTCTTCCCTAAATAAGAGTTGCCAAGGATGATGTGGCATATGTCTGACTAATGCCACCTCACATACCACCTCATCAATAAGTTGTTTGGTGATAGTAAAGCGGACTTGTACTGTTGCTCAACTTTTCTATCCACATCATCGTGGATCCACCCTAAGTTATAAGGGTGAGGGTGTCGCATCATCTCCAAACTAACCTCACCACGAAATTTTCAGATATTTAAATTTTCTCACATTTTGTGGCGAAGAAGGCATTGACGACCTTATTATTCACTTGCACTTGCATGGTGTACACCTTCTCTTCAACCTTAAGTAGTGGCAATAGTCTCAAGTTTGTCCCATTTGGCCGGACCATCAAAAACAAACTCGAGTCAATGTTAGCCATGTGTCCTACCTCTATGGCATCTTCAGTTGTGATTGTGATGGTGGTCTGTTTTTTGCAATCATTCATCTTTGGTGCATACTCCAAATGAAGCTTCCAACAATTTTGTTCATCATGTTTAGATTTCTAATAATGACCACAAATTTTATTAGTTTTAGAAAGGTTAGAAACTGAATTACCCTTCTTATTTTTGAATTCAGGTTTATTCTCATTGTGAATCTGATTCTTCATTTCAATAGCCATGGTGGTGCTGCTAGCCTTAAACAGATTATGAACATAGAAGAGACTCAATTCTGTCCTAATCTTCTCATGAAGTCCGGAGATACACTTAATGTAGGTTGTGGGATCCACCAACAATTCTTCAAGGGTCATAGTCTACCTCTGAAACTCTAGTGTAATCCTGCATCAATTGCTCCTTCTTTTATGCCACTTGAACCTAAAGTTAGTTGGTTCTTCTCAAAATGCATTGAGGTGCAATAGTTGACTGGACATTGAAGGGTAAAGCACTATTTTGGTGCGGGTTGTGAGAGTTGGAGTTGGTGCCATTGGTACTATAGGTCTTCAAAATAACCCATTGGATAGAACTCTTTTCAAATGAGGTTTTTGAATTGGTTCTAGGTGAGATCCTCCACATCCTCACTTCTTACCATAACTTTCCACTAAGTCTTTGCATGGCCTATCATCTTTAGAGGTGTATAGTCACCTTTTGAGTATTGGTGAACCTTTGGAGGGTGAAGTATGTCTCTAATTGGTCTAATTATGAATTCAGTTGTTTTAGATCTATTGTGTCATCATGGACTGGTATCTTCACCTTGGCTTCCACTTTGAAAAGTTTTCGAGTCAAGGTGGTTGTACTTGAACCACTGTCGTTGTCATTGTTGCCTTTGCTTTTGTCTAATCCATTGTCTTGCTCTTTTACTGAGGCTGGTGTGGTATTGTTCTTTCCTCTTAGAGGCATTGTGAATTGGCATTTAATCCAATGAAGTACCGTCGTCATATTCGCCGATAGCTTTGTGACTTGTTCAGCTAGACTAGCATTATTGTCGGCCATTGGATTTGTAGTAAATTAAATTGGTCGGTGATGAGGTTGCAACACTGACAGAGATTCTTTGGTAGTTTTATAACTAGATTTGGTTTGCACTATCTACAGGGAAGGAGCGAGGCTCTGATACTAAAATGTGATTAATAATTTTCATGAAATGCAAACAATGGCTAAATGGATTGCAATACAATAGGCAAAAAATCCAAAAACTCAAAACAAATAAATATTGAGGAGAAACTGATATTAACCATTATAAGCAAGAATGTACTTTGCCATTGACTCATAGAGAAACCCTCAATACAATTATAATAAGACTTCAAAAAAAACAAACATGTCTCCTCTCACGTCTCAATCCTGGACTGTTGGAATCATCAACTCTTAAGTCTCGGATGGCTAGAACGGATTGAACAATACTTGAATCTTTTCGGAAGTGAAGATCTCCTAATTAGACGGATGGTCATCAAATGCTTTCACAAAGCCTTTCATTGGATCTTTGATGATTTGTATGGATTATGGATGAATTTTTGGATACCCTAGGATGCCACCCAAGTCTTTCTTTTATAATCCTAAGAGTTCAAGAGGGTTTAGGAGTTCTTGGACAGATTGAAAACCATAGAATCTTAGAAAAATGTGAGAAATCCCACCACGGTGGGCACGGTGTGCCGCAGTAGATTCTAGCATGCTATAGCGTGTTAATTCTAGTGAGTAACATGTTACTGCAAGCTCTAGTAGCATTACGATGAGCTCTAGTGTGTTATGGTGTGCTATTAGTATTGCTATAGTAACATTTTTTTTTTTTTTAACAAAACCTATTCATTCTCAAGCTCTGAAATGAATACTCACCAACTCTGAACCCATCAAAGATCCTCCTGTATCAAAGGTCGACAATAACAGTTGTGACTATAAAATTGATCAAGAAATCCGTGCTCGGCAAATGCGATAAAATTCTATAAAATAAACTATCTTTTTCTTTATAATTTTAATGACTTTATTGGTCTTGTTATATTGAAGAGATTGCTTGTTGTCTTTAAGAAAGTGATTTGGAAGTTATAACAAAAAAAATTCTTCAATAAATTCTTTTGAAATATACATGTACAAAGAAAGATAAATTAAGAGATAAAGGAAGAGGAAGTACCTTTAGAACAATTGCAAAAGTCTCCAGGTTGGCCATTGATGAGATATGCATCCGACACCGGTAATGGTCCACCTTCTTGAAGGTCTTCTAAAAGTAAATAGTTTACATCTCCCTTGTACCAAGACCCTATGTAATTGAAATTTAGAGAGAGGCCAAATTTTTACCGAGTATAAAAAAAATATAAACCATGTGAGCTGTACGGGTTAATAGATGTTGGTCATCCTAAAAAAAAATCAACTTAAAAAGTTTAAACTAAATACTTTCTAATTTACGCTTTCGTTCATTTTCAATTAAAGGGGCATTTGCTTTGGGAGATAGGATAAGGGGTGATAGGTTAGGCAGGATAAAATTTATCCTACCCGCTCCCCTTATCACATGTTCGGTTACCTCTTCATCTAACAGGATAAGAAACATAATAAAATTTTATTTTTCCAAAATGACCATGTTTAAAAAAAAAAAAGGACCCCGGCAGCTGTGCGATCTCACCTAGAGCCTGTGCGCGAGAGGGGAGAGGGGCGAAGAGAGAAGCGGGAAGAGAAAGGGGCAAAAACGGAAAAAAAAAATTATCCGGGGGATAAGCCTTTACACGCCAACCTCCCCCAGATATCGTATCAGCTGAAAACAAATAAAACAGTCTGTCCCAAATTTTATCTATCCTTATTACACGCATACCGAATGCGTGATAAAGGCAGATAAGACAGATAATTTTATCTGTTATAGGCTTTTATAAGCCAACCGAACGCCTCCTAAGGAGTCAAAAGACAAAGGTAAAAAAAAAGTAAAAAAAGGGGAAAGAAACACTAAGCTTGGCAACAAATTTCAAAGCCACTTATTCTTTCAGTTTTTGAACCAAGTACCTCTAAAGCATTCTTGCACATCCTACCGCTACAGTAACGTTATCCTGCAGAAGTTTAGAGCAGAGACTGACATGTATTCCAATTTCTTTTTTATTTTCCTTTTGATGTAAATTCTGTTACTGAACCATCTGGTCATCTGGTCCACAGTTGGACCAGTTCATTCTTGGCATGGTCAGGTCTAGTTCTAATAAATATAATGAGTCTTTGATCCAATCTATAATCTTGCTGGATTTCAAAAGAGAAAAATAGGAAATGGAGGAGGGTGGACCTCATAAATATTACAAAGGTGTTCAACGTGTAAGCCAATAAGATTCTTTAGAGCCTTTGTGGTTTTTTCTGGCGTCATTCTATCCTTCAACCAATTGCTGGGCTAAAAGTTCAGTTTACATTCAACAGTTCCAATTAAGTTTAAAAATATCATAATTCTTTGTCATGGGGAAATTCCTATTGTTCAGTTTAATTCCTATCGTTCAAAATAAAATATATGGGAGATATGTAATATGGAATTTTAAATGATTATTAAGATTTTAATGGCAAAAGAAAAACTTAAAAATCTTTTAAATAATGAGGAAAAATATTATAAGAATACCTAAAATTATGATTTCTTCTTCATCAGGTTTAGGAAATGGATAAGTAGTGCCCAGCCTTGGATATACAACAATGGCACCATGAACAGTGCTCCTTGTCCAATCACTATGAGCATGCCACCAAAGAGTTCCTTCCTCGATAGAAAATATAACTTCATAGGTAAAATTTGTTCCTGGTTGTATAGCACACTGTGTGATATATTCTGGTCCATCTGACCATGGATTTCTTGGTTGTTTCACTCCATGCCTGCCACAAGTTAGCAGTTTTAATCTTTCACATATATTTGTATTCATATTTTTTATTTTCAAGGAACATGAAATGGTAATTTCAGTTACCCAAAAAAAAAAAAAAGAAATGGTAACTTCTATTTTTGGCCCCATTTATTCAAATGTGCAAGGTCATCTTCGAACAAAATTTTGATATTCTTTCCTTTTCTTTCTTTTCTAATCAACTCATTTTACTTTAAATTATATTGTAATGGGTTGATAATTTTGAACTAATTTATATCTTAAGTTAAGTAGATTAGACGGAAAATTAAGGGTACTAGAGATGTGAGTAAGCCATCATATTTCAAGAAAGGCTTAATTTATTTAAATAATTAAAAATGGAAAAAGGGAATAAGATAGATGGAAAGAAGATTGGAACCAGTGAATCGTAACGCCATAATTTCCTTCATTCTGGACGTTGACAAATACTGTATCTCCCTTATAAACATGAATAACTGGACCTGGAAAACTATCATTCACAACCAACATACTTCTCGAACTACACAACCTGGTAAAGTTGGCCTCCTTCAGCTACATAAATAAAAAAAAAAAAATTTGAAATCAACCAAATAAATAAAAGTAGCATAAGCATGCATAGAACCTACAAAATGGAAATACCTCCAAAAACAAATATAAACTCGAGACAGGGGTAAATGGCAATTATCCCCATTAACTTCTTCTTTGGTGTGACTTCGTTCCATGTATTGACAAAATTGTCATAATCTAATAACAAGATTACTTGTCAATGTTCAAATTTTAGTTAAGATACCAGTATAGTAGTCGCACATGTCATGCACATGCCTCTCTCCAAGCAGAGAAAATGTTGTCTTGGTAAATTACATTTATTCCCTTTATATTTCCTCTTTGTTATTACTTTTCTCTGGGTAATTTCATCCTTAGGCAATAGCGAGACACCTACATGGCATGTGCGTCTGCTCCATATACTCGTTTAATAACAAATTTAGATAAAATGGTTTTCTTTTTTTAAAGTGGATCAAAATAAAGGAAATTTTAAAACATAATTGTATAAGATTATAAAAATAATGCCTTATTTAGTCACGATTTTATTTAGCATAGCTACTTTGTTTGGTCATGATTTTGTTAATTATTAGTTGCCATTTTGAGCATAGCGAAATAGTACTTCTCTTATAGTGAAATTGTATTCTCTTTTATAAACTGTATTTTTTTTTTTATTTTAAATTTAGGTACATGTGTGTTACCCTTTTTGGGGATTTTGTATATTTAGTAAAAAAATAAAAATTCAAATAAAGAGCGGAACTGATGTAAAAATACATGAAATAAGCAGAAGTCTATGTCCATGCGCATGCATTTGTGAGTCAAAATGAAGCTTACAACGAAGTCATAGTAGTGCGTAACTGCAGAAGCTATAAACAAGAATGGAACGCAGCTACATATCAGAAAGCAGAGGAAAAACTGTGAGAGGAGATGACTCATCTTCTTCGTCACACAACAAAGAAAGAATTCCCTCTAAGAAGGTTTGTACTATCCAGCAATTGGAAACTTACAATTTATAATTTGAGATTGGTTCAAACCAAAACTTCTTACAAAACATGTGCCCAACTAATCTTCTTCTCCATGCACGTTGGTTTTTTGGTTTGGGTCACGTGTTAGTTTAGCGATTGTCAAACTCCCCAAGTTAAGCAGCTCTGAAGTGGATTAGCTGGCAAGGGTGTGATTGGTCGGTTGGTGAAAATTCAATTATTGTCCGTGCAATTATTCACGAGAAAGAGAAACTAGAGTGAATATGACATTTCACCAAATGTTGGTGTGGCCCAAACGAACAGGATAGCAAATGGATGTCACCTCAAGATCTTTGGGATATAAATAATTTTATTACATATATTTTCGGTAAATCAGGCTAATCCCTCTCAAAGTTTATTGAAATGCATGCCACCTCATTAATATTGGAAGAACCACGCTGACCACCCTTTATTTGAAAGGTGGTGACATCACATAAAATCTACTTTAAATTGCCCATAAAATGCATGTAAATTCTTGTTAGTTTTAAATAAAATAAAAGCACTTATAATGTCTCTTCTACCCTTGGCTCTAATGAACAAACACAATTATTAGTCCGCCAAAAAAATAACTAAACGAGAAAGTGTCACAAGTGAGCAAAATTGGAAATTTTTTTAAAATATTATTTTTAAAATATTCTTACATTTAATAAAAATGAATTATTTTAAAGTGATTTGGATAAATTAAATTTAAATAAAATAAATTTTTATTATTTAATTGTATAAAATAATAAAATAAAATTATATATTTATTTTTATAAATTTATGTGTGGCTTCGCCTTCAATTATCTCCACGAATGACATTCCTTCCTCTACAAATTTCCTACTATCTGCGTCATTCGACCCCGTTGGTTAAAGCTATTTGCCCCTCTATTCTTAGCCAATTGTTAGTCTAGAACATGATCATCGCTGCTCCTGTCTCCACGAACAACATTCGTTCCTCTACAAATTGTCTGTCTCTCTTTCTTGTTCATCCCTTTCAACCAAAGCTATCTACCTCTGTATTCTTCCCCAGTTGTTAGTGCAGAACAAGATTAACGTTGCTCTTATTTGCTCTCCAATTTGCCATTGCAGAACAAGATCAAAGCTATCTGCCTATTGTCCCCAGTTCGCCATTTCTGACCACTTTTATGGCTCCTATTTGCTCTTCGATTGTGTAATAACCTATTTTTATAATAAATTTAATTATGGATTTAATTGAATGGTTAATTGTTATGTTGGGGGGCTTAACTGAATAAATTATAAGAATTGGGGTTTAAATTGAAGAATGTAAGGGCTGTGATTGAAGAAATTAAATCAAGTGAGGTTTAATTGAGAATTTGTCCCGATCCAACCTCGAGCTCGTGACTGGCATTAGGGTCCACTGACCCTAGTAAGCCTCAACACACCAAACCGAACCCAAAAGTACAATACACGAAACATATCAATATAACAACAACAGGATCCTGTCTGAGAGTACAAGGAAGCTACTCTAGAATACAATAGAGAACAGATACAAAAAGGAGTGCTTGTACATCCATCAATCCTCCGACAATCACTCCAAAAATTGGCACGCTACTCGAGACGAGGACAGCAACCCAAATATGGAATGATGATAATATGTGAGTCGCGAAACTCAGTGAGTACAGATGATACCTAGTCTAAACATGTTATGATACGCATCACACCACAAGTTCAAAACCATACATACATATACAGTGATCAGTAAAACATATCAACCACACGCTTAAGGGTACCGTCAACTAAACATCAAACCACATCACTAGATCCAGGCCTACTCACCACTGGACGCTACGGATTACCGTACTCCAACCGAGTTCCTACCATCCCCAAATCACGTCACTAGACTCAGACCGACTCATCACTGGACGCTACGGATCACCGTGCTCCAGCCGAGTTCCTGCCGTTCCCAAATCACATCACCGGACTCAGGCCGACTCACCACTGGACGCTACGAATCACATACTCTAGCCGAGTTCCTGCAGTCCCCAAATCACATCACCGGACTCAAGCCGACTCACCCTGAACGCTACGGATCACCGTACTCCAGTTGAGTTCCTACCGTCCTCAAATCACATCACACGATACCATCTTCACATACAAGTCAAAAATAGGTATACATGCACATATACAGTCCATATCTCGAAATCAGCATCACATACTAACACGACTCACTAACAATTCACAAAATACATAACACATATCCGAAGTATAACATATAATCAAAATACAGTTTTCAAGTCACATAATCATCATGTTAGAAAATCACAGTATGAAAACACAAGCATAGAGAGAATATCATCACTTACAATATAATGGCTGGACAAAAAGGAACTCCCAATCACCCTCACCCGACTCGCTGATCTAGACGTGCCTCCACCGACGTATTTGTAACAAAAATTACACAAAACTATCACCACCACCAAAACTAGCGCAAGAAACTAGCTCAATAGCCCAAAATTGGCTCAACTCCCATCCTAACACCATGGCACGCATCTCGAGGCACCACTGCCCCATCACCAAAACCCTCCCAACTCACGAACACTCATAAATCTAACTTAACAAACCTTGAACCACAACGATCTAGCGCCCAAAACCCTCAATCATAGTAAATGGACCTTCAAAACCCTTGAATCGACTAAACCGGTCTAAAACTACCTCAAGTTCAACTAAATTGGCCACGAAACTCTCCAAATCATATTTAGAAGGCCCAAAAACCCTAGGAATTGGTTTGAACCAGCTAGAAAACCCTTGAACTAACCTTGAACCAGGCCAAAAACCTTAATCCTAAGCATCGATACATTGAACCGAGCCTGGTTCACCTTGAACCGGACAACCAAAAATCACCAAACCACATGGCTAGCTAGGTTTCATCATGCTGAACCAGGAACCGGTTTAACTTCCTCAAGAACTGACTTAAAAACCAATGAACCGATCACCCGACCAGTATTTCATTAAACCAACCGGTTCACCTTGAACCGGCCATCCAAAAATTTCCAAACCCACTTGGTCTGATAGCTCCCATTCCCATGAATCCAGAACCGGTCCAACTTCTCAAATCCGAGTTGATTTGACCACTGAATTGGCCAATCAAACCCACTGGCCGGTTCGGTCAAACCCCTTTCCTTTTTTTTTTAAATCGTTAACTTGGCTCAGCTTGGCTAGCAACTCGCAGCTCAGCTCACGACTCGAGCCATCGGCCCACTAGCTCAGCCCGCCCGCCTAGCCCAAGGCTTGACCCAGCCCAGCTGGGCCGGCTCGACTTGCTCGGGCCTTCCTTGGCCCAAGCCCATTTGGATCTAGGCCCAAACCGGCCCAGTCCAACCAAACCCTTTTGGCCCGGGTTGGACCCAACCGGGCCCAGCCCGTCTGAACTTGGATCCTCATCCGGGTTCGTCCTTGTTGCCCGAAAATACAAACACAAACCCCGTCCAAGTCTGCAACAGACCTGGAAACCCTAAGCTTGAAGAAAATAGCAAAACACCACTTATCTGGATCAATCTCCAACCCAGATCAATGCTTCCAACCTAGGCGAGCTTCAACCAAGCCTTTAATCAGACTAAAACAACTCAAAATGCTTCAAATCCATCGATTTCCTCCTCTGGCCACCCAAAAGCTCCGTCGGCCTCCTCAACACAAAATCTCTCAGATCCTTTCTTTCAAACCTCAAATTGATTGAGGGCAAATGAAGCGTGAAACCTCTTGCACATGAAAACCAGATTTTAAGGCAAATCTCAATTCAAATGATGGAGGAATGGGCTGCATAGTGTTCGGTCCACTGTTGGACCGAACTTGTCAGACTCGTTTTCAAACCAACCCCTAGAACTCCCAATTTGTAAAGACTCAATTTTTGAATTTATTAAGGTTGAGGACCAAATTGCAAGAATTAAATTTTTGAGGGGTTAAATTGGAAATTTGCTAGGGGCCCATTTGAGAGGAAATAAGATTTAAAGGACCAGATTGCAATTTCACAGAATTTTTGTCAAGAACAGT